CTTGATTTTGTCCCTGACTCATGGCCATGTCTAACAAGTTAGTTTCTTCATCAATTTTTTTCCTTGCATTGGTTCTTTTGCATGGAATTCACAATACAGAAGAGAGACTTTTGAAAACTACTTCGTTAGAGATTGAGCGAAGTTATCCAAAAGGCGAGGTCAAGAATCGTGGCATTGTGGCTACATATAAACGAGATAGTGTCTTCCGAAAAGCGATCATCACCCACCCTACTGACTTTAGGCCTACAAATCCCGGCAACAGCCCAGGCGTGGGACACTCTAACGGGCGACATTGATTAGATCATATCGTACGTCAAAATCCATATCATATACAAAATTATATGTATTGTTGTTTATATATATGTATGTTTTTGGGATGTTTGGACGTCACTTTACCATTTCAACATTTTGACAGTACTATATATGGTCATCATGTCTGCGTCCTGGTTTTGTTCCGCTGTCACGTATTGTAAGATTTTATAATGAAATAAATCGCTAGTTGTTCAACGATTTTCAATAAATGTAAACCTCATTAAGAAAACTTTTTCGAAAACTTGAACATGAAATCTTTAATCATCTCGTTTTGTTTTTGGTTAAGATTTAATTATTTATGAATCTTTACTAGATATAAAAGAGAATTAAAGAACACATTTAAAGAGTACATGGACGGCTGTATCATCTCACTGCAGCTATCGAGAATACCACACAAGATCTGGACGTTACCATGACATCAAGAATGGTTCGTGTCATTACCGTTAGTGGCGGACCCATAATTTTTTTTTTTTACGGCGGTCAAAAATTTAAGAATTTATTTATATTATTTATAAATATAATATCACTGTAAGATATTTATTATATAGAGTATTAGAGCTTAATTAATTTATATTTTAAAAAAATTAAGGAAAGCTTTACTTAATATAAAGGATATTTTAAATTTACATTTAATTATATCAAAAAGTGAAAATCTTAAGCCCCTACTTAAACAAAATCAAAAGTTAAATATGAGATTTTAGCCCAATAGATCAAGATTCAAATGGATAAAAACTAAAAATAGGGTGCAAAAAGAGGACTTAAACTTCGTTAGGGGGTTCAATAGAAGAGGTTTTTACCAGCAAATCTTTTGAGTTATATGAAAACATGCTTAGAATTATAATTTATATAGTTTGAATGGGGTGTCAACTGACCCTCATTCTCTCTACGTGGATCCCCCCTGATAAGGGATTTATATATTTTGCATAGGAATTCTATTTGATCAAAAACGCAATATGAACCAAAATGAAAAAGCCAATTAAAACTACGTTAAGCC